AAAGTTGTTATTTCAATTGTTCAATCCAATAAAAATATAAAACTCAGAAAAACTGGTGGTGTACAATCTACAAATGAAGAGAGGAAGTAACAAAGGTGCTAAGTGCCAAAAATAAAGTTTCGAGATATTTAAGAAAAAAGTAATAAAAATGTCAATATTTGTTTTTTTCGTTTATTAGCATCAAAAATCGTATAAAAGGTCAACGGAAAACACATTCTAACTTACACCGATATCTGTTATGAAACACAGCTGAAAACAAAAATTATTTCTCAAAAAAAAAATGGAAACGAGGTAAGTGCCACATTTTTTTCAACAGAATAGGATCATTAAGTTTGCTGATATAATTTGAAGTTTTTCAAATTTGGAAATAAGGATATAGGCGATAGTCAAACTGACATTGATCTCAATAATAACAAAAATGACAAAAAACGAGGTGTCTAATGATTCGACAATACAGCAATTCACTCTGGTACTTGCCCCCTTTGATGGCAAATAACCGTTGTCGCTTACCGCTGGCTCCATCTAATTGTTGTTGTTGAAAGGATAATATTACTCATGGCACTTACAGCTTTTGTCAGGTCATAAAGCATGTCGTTCAACACCGTTCTACGGTAATATCTCAATTCATGGAATTATGGCACTTAGCACCTTTGTTACTTCCACTCTTCAAATGGTGTATGAATTTACCCACTGTGACGCCACTGGAAATATTATTTCGAATCTAATTGCACTAGAAGGAGCTCCATATTACTAAATACTGTCTGTAAATTGATGAAAAGACAATTGAGAAATGAATAGAGAAAAGATTTTTCATGGAAATATTAATACCCTGTATCTCGAAAACGAAGCAAGTTAGGATACATGTTTATATGAACTTTATTTCATATCACAAGGAATCACTTCTTGAACTTTTTCGGTGTTATTTAGATACACCTTTTATAAAATATGTCCATCCTCAGCCTCACCAACTATTACAACATATCGTGGGAATGAATAAAAAAGGTTAAGTTACAGTTTCATTTTAATCGGGGAGCCCAAAAACTTCAACTGGAACTATCATGAGGGATACAAAACAAAAGTGGTGGACTTTTCACAGGGTATTCCATTTAAAAATTCAAAATTGGAGCCATTTCCGCTAAAATACGAAGTGACCAAAAAGTGACAAATATTCGAACATTCTCGTCTTCACATTGGTACCATTTACCTATACCTAATCTCATTTTGATAAACCCATTATTCTAGAAATTATATAACTTGCCGAATAGATTCGTTGACACTCGGTATACCCGACTGATGCTGATGCTTCAATTTAGAATTTTTTCCGATGGGCCGGAAACGCTCAAAGCAACAAAGGCTCTAAGATATCATTCATATCTGGATACCTTCACTTTTATAACTGTTATTGTTTATTCCGTGTCAATTCGGAATATATTAGTCCTACTTTTCTTATCATTGTTTGCAAATCGTTTCCTCAAATTGCTCAATTACCGCCCGACTCAGCTAGACCGTTGTTAATTGTCATTCGAGATGCTTTTGTTTCTTTCTTGATTAACGCCGCTTCCGTCGGCTAAAAGATTTACAATCGCCCGTGTGTGAACATCTGCTAAATCAAATTGGCTGCTTCGCAGGAAACAAAACCCTAATCCTATATAGCTGTTAATATGAGATTAATCTTTGGGGTTATGCCAGAGTGCAGCACAATGGGGAAGTTTACAATATTGAGGTTTTCATCTCACTGTAAAGTTTGTAATAAATTAATATATACGTATTTTTTGTTTTTTTCGTTAGATCAAATTTCCCTTCAGAAAGAAATGAATAAAAGAGGAACTTGGCTCCTACACCATTCCTATCACGTACTTTCTGAAAATCCACATTCACACAGGGTCTCTCCTCTTTCACATGAACTTTGAATCATGAGAAAATATGCATTTTCAACAAAGTTATTGAATATTGAATAATTTGTCCCCCCGCCGATGTGTAAATACACGGACTGTGCCGTGCTCTCCGGCATACAACAGAAGCTCATTATTCGAGGTGCGCTTCGTGCCGTTTTTCTCGAAAACGGGCAAATTTTCGAGAAAAATGATAAGGACCATTTTTGTAGAAAATTAACTGAACTTCAATTTTTATCTGAACCAAAAATTTCTAACTGTCATATTTTAGGAGATATTGGCTGAAAACCTATCTTTCTGGTCTTTTGGGGTCATTTTCTCCGCCATCGCACGCGTTTTCCAGTCAAACTTTGTCTCAAGTTTAATGAGGTACCAAAAGCTACTTCCAACCGGAAGATGAAAATAGTGCGTAATTAATGTTAACTTTTTCCCTTTATTTATTGGACTACATGAAATTATTTAAGAAGAAGAGTAACTAGTTTCGGCCACAGGCCATCATCAGACACAAAAAATTATTTATTAAGGAAGTACCTATAGAAGAGATTATGGAAACAGTTAAGGAGTTAAACAAGAGTAAATGTTTTAGTTATACTAACCTCAGCAATACATATCAAGAACAATTTTGATGATTTTAATTGATAGAAGCCGATAACAATTTTGACCTACCTATGCTTGTAATTGTTCTTAATATGTATTGCTGAGGTTAATATAAGTATAACGTTGATTCTTGTTTGACTCCTTATAACTGTTTCCATATAATCTCTTCTAGGTACTAAATTAAATAATTTTTGTGTCTGATGATGACCTGTTGCCGAAACTAGTAACACTTCTTCTTGAATGATTTTATGTGGTCGACCGACTTCGTGCCTTGGTTCTCACGATGTTCTCTGAACATTATAGGATATCCCTTTTCGTGGGAACCAGAACATGAAAAAAATGTTTTTCTTGAAAAAAACAATTGGACCACTTCGAGAAATATGGATGGTTCCTACGATTCAAATTATATATTTTCGCAAGAACACATCAAAACAGCCATATTCAAAATAGAATATGCTTTGAGTTCATATTTGAAAAATTGTCTATATACGTTGTTTCTCAAACTTTGCGGTCAGTTCTATCGCAGACCACAGTCGGTCATGGATTAATTATTATTCAGGAACAGTTTTTTTGAAGCGAGTTACACTGCGTTTATTGTATGTTGTGTTATTAATTTTTCGTTTCGATGTTCATTAAAATTGAATTAAGTTATTGGGTTAATTTGAGGCAAATTATTTGTAAAGTTCCTGGAAACAATTATTCACCATAATTTCATATATGGGTCCCATAACGGATCCTTGAGGAACCTCGTTCCTGATGGCATGTCGAAGAATGCGATAATTGATGGCCTGCAAGCCGATACAATAAATCCAATTACACTGACCATCCATCTATTTTCTTTTTTCTACATAAACTGAACGAAATAAGTTAGGGATTCGTCTTTTATTTTATACTCTCTGGAGGTTTCAGTAATGTTTCTTGCGGTTTGAAGGTTGTGCGCTCATAAAATCAGAATGGTGTTAGGTTGTTCAACAAAGAATTGAAATCATTTTCATTCATGGAGGATCTAGAAGATGTGCAAGAAAAATAGCAACTTTGTTTATAACATCGTAGAAACCATCCATATTTCTGAAAGTCCCAAAGTCTGTCGACCACGAAAAATTGTTTAATGAGTAGTGTAACTAGTTTCGGCCACAGGCCATCATCAGACACGAAAATAATGTATTCGGAAGTTCCTAAAAGATAATTATGGACATTGTTAAGGAGTCAATGTTTGTAAGTATCAAAGTATTAGTTGCTATAAGTTCGATAAACATCAAAAAATGGATCGTTTGCAACCAACATTTTTTGCAAAATATCACCTTTACTGATGAGTGTACATACAGTTTTCCCTCAATTGGCATGCTAACAAACAAAATGGTCGTCGATTGGAAATTGACGGCATTCTTGAAAATGGTATAATTGGACCTTTTTTCATTCAGGAAAATCTGATTGGTAAGATCTAATATTGACTCTACTCGAAGGAGAAATAGACCCCTTGATCTGATAATAATTTCTGGAAATAAGGTACAATATGTTTCAACACACAACTTTCTTCCAGTTAGACGTTGGGGCAATGAAATGATAGGTTTCCTGAAAGATGGATTGGTCGAAGAAGAGCAATTCAAAACAACCAATATCACCTGAGTTAATGCTTCTTCATTTCTTTTTATGGAAGTATCTTAAATCGTTTGTTTATAAAACACATCATCTTCAAGATTTGGGAGATTTGAAGAGGAGTAAAAGTTTTTCTAAACGCTAGAGAAGGGTTTGAGAGCAGACTTCATTGATGCTGACAGAATATCTAATGATCAACATTTCGATCATTCAATAAAATGAAGGATATTTTATGAATTATTTGATTTATCGCAGAAACTCGGTATCTCAACTTGTTTACTGTATCTGATGTTTCCAAAATTTAATATGAATATCAAATAGTATGTAGTATGTATTTTCGAAATGGATGTTGAACGGCCTTCAAAATGATGTATCAGTAAACCTCTCTCCTGATGCATTAGAGATTTTGGGTGTTGTTTTCATTCCCGCTAGAGTGTTGATGTAATTCAATCACAAACCATCTTATAAAATCTTCATCCCTGACAATCAAGTTGACGTGTTCATGGATATTTTTATATTTTCTTCACAGGGTGATTCAAAAGTGAGCGGCATCCTTCTAGGGATGTTTTTACACTTAACCTCGCCCTAATGTGACGCCCCTGAATTAAATTTCGGAATCTTGAATTCAGAGTCTTATTTACCATCAAATCTTTATGCCATACACCAATTTTCGAAAATTTATTGTGAAGAATTTCGAAGTTATAGAGAGAAAATCGTCTTTGAGGTGTACTATTCAAAGGGGCGTATCTCCCCTAGGAAGAATTTTCGGACCAATATTAATAGGAACTTCTTGCCTTATTTTCATGCAAGGAATACGCCCCTGAAAGGATGCCGCTTCCTTCTGAATCACCCTGTATAGGGACTGAGATATACTGTCATTGGTGTGCGACATGAATGTTTTCGTTGGTTTTGCAGAAGGAGGCAGTTGGAGGAGAAATTCAGGAGGAAATCTAGCTGGCTGGCGGCGAGCGCGATGCAGGTCTTCACTTGTTTCGTGCTGGGAGTTTTCTCTATTAATTCCGCCGGAGCAGCTCGCAGACAGCAATGGAACGGCACATGGATGTGAGTTATAGTTATCGGCTTCTATCTCCTTGATTATATAAACTCCATGGCTTCTTGGGTCTGTATACCGGGTGTGAAATCGATAATGAGAAGATTCGAACACGGCGATGATCTCAATTTGATTTTATTTTCACTTCGTGTATATTGCTCGTCATGATCTCAAGTAGAGAACGAAATAGTATTTCATCAAGAAATGCCGATTATTATAGACACATTCTCGTATTTTATTTTCCTAAATTATTCAATAATCTGCTTAGTTCACCAGAACTATTGATGAAATAGGTTTAGAACTCCAGAACTCTTTATAATACAACAAAAAAATATATCAGAACTCATTTTCTTGCAAACAAAAATACGGCGCTGCGTGAAGTTAGCGATCGAAATTGATTTTTTTCCATTTACATCTTCGATTTGCTGAAACTATTCGAAATTTCAGTCAGGAACTCCAGAACCCCATCAAATCTACTCGGAAAAAAACTGAGTTTTCCTTAACCACTACGATTATATATCAAAATGTCGTGAATATTATTTATAAGTATTATTCTTACTTGGAAATAAAAATAGTAGACATTCCAATAGTAGGTATAGGCAATAATAACAGGGCAAACAGGGAATGTAATGTTAAATGCATATTATATGAGATGTAACAATATTTTTAAATCGATTTTATCCCAAAATAATACGCATCTATTCTTATTGATACCTACCAAGCACATATTTTTCCTGTAAAAAGGTGTGGATTTTCAGAATCCGAGATTAAATTGTAGAAAAGTATGCATACAAAGAAGTTTGAGCAATTTTTAATGTAGTTCCACCTTGTATTGTACACCCCTGAATTATTGTATTTTCACTGTATTGGGCATGGAATGTTTAGCTCTTGTATCGAATTGCATTATTTTTATCACATCTTCAGGAGCCCCTTTTCAGGGTGCTGTAGCTCCCTTATATAGGAGACATTTTTCGACTCAACTTCATTGAAGATTTTGTTCCAATTTTTGGTCGTAGAAGCCGCCAGTAAAGTTTAGCAGGCTAATTTCGGGACACCCTGTATATCATCCGCCGTCGGTGATAAGTTTTTATAGAATTTAAAAGAACGTGTTTTCGATTTGCTTGATGACAACAATACTATCCCATTAATCAGCATGAATCTATATCTTTTTGACAAACAATGTAAAGCTCCTCTTGTCATTCAACGTTTTCGTAAGGCATAATTCGCTGTGATGGCGGCATAACTAATCCCCTATAAAACCAAAACAACAAGAAGAAGAATCTGGTAATAAGGCTTAGCGGGTCTCATCAAAGTATACACCGCCTGTATAGAAATCTCGAACAGATGTCAGCTTTTTTCCCATCTCGCATCTCGGTAGTCTTTGGGCGGATGTATTCCTTGCACGATTATTACACGGTCGACCTAAGCCCTTTTTGTGGCCAACCGAGCCTCAAAATTTGGATAATGCGTCCACCATGTTGATGAGAAAGAAAGTTAATTCTCAATAAGTATCATTTCATCTTCTTAGGACAACTATACAACATGCTAAAGATACCTGCTATATTGTGAAAAGGGGGGTGTATAATTTGCTGACCAACATTAAAGTATGCTGACTGAGCATTTCTGATTAGAATTTTCTCTTCAAATTGCATATTTGGATATCTTATATAGATATATAGATGCCACCAGTGGAATTTTTTCGATCCACCCTTTCAGAGGGGTACTTTATTCTTGCAGTTTTTCAAACATCCCTGCTGACCGAGCATTTCTGGTTCGTATTTTTTCATCAAATCACATATCTGAATATCTCATATGGATATATAGATGCCACCAGTGAAATTATTTCGATCCAACCCTTCAGAGGGGTAGTTTATTCTTGCAGTTTTCATAAATCCTTCCTGGTTGGTATTTTTCCATCGAATTACTATTTGGATATCTCATATAGATTTATAGATGCCACCAGTGGAATTATTTCGATCTACCCCTTCAGGGGGTGATTTGATGGAAAAATACGGACCAGAAATGCTCGGTCAGCAAGGATTTTCGAAAAACAGCAAGAATAAACTACCCCTCTGAAGGGGTGGCATCTATGAATCTATATGAGATATCCAAATAAGTATAATCTGATGGGAAAATACGAACCAGAAATGCTCGGTCAGCAAGGATTTTTAAAAAACTGGAAGAATTAACTACCCATCTGAAGGGGTAGATCGGAATTATTTTACTGGTGGCATCTATATATTCATATGGAATATTCAAATATGCAATTTGAAAAAAAAATCGAACCAGAAATGCTTGGTCAGCATACTTTAATAATTTTGGTCGAAGATATTGGTAATGGTAGGTAATATTTCAATGTTGTATTACTTGTAAAGTAAATTTAGCTACATTTGAAAGCACTTTTTGGACAGACAGCTTCTCTTAGATTTTGGATTCGCTGAAATTCTAGTTGGCAAATGATAGCAGAAAAAAAAATTGAACAACTCCCAGCCGTTCCAAAAGTAAGTAGGGGGTTACATTTTGTGGACACAGTGCATAATCTACGAGAGCAAATGACAATTGCAATGACAATTATTTAGTGACTTAGGTATGATAAGTTTGGTCAAGTTTATTTACACTTGGAAAATATTCTGTTCATAAACCAACAAAAAATGTTCAAATATCCGTATATTATGGTGATGAGCAGTGCTCTCGCCCTAAATAAATCTGGGATCGGTGAGAAAGTCCATTTGAAGTATAGACAGTTTTAATAACTATTCACAGGAAAAGGACAATAAACTTTTAATCCATTCATAAAAGATTTGTATTCGAGAATACAAAGGTGTGCTATAAAATAGACAACTTCTCATTCATTATCTTGAGCTGTATTATAGTAATTTAATTTCTAAACCATAAATCTTCAACCGCATTCAAGAAAAGTTCCGACTCTTAATATATCGTTCCTCCAGATGCATTATCTGTTATTTCATTAGTGATAGAGAAAGTGAATTGTTTATGAAATATCATCCAAAATACAAATACCAATATTATGGCATCGCTGTTATAAGTTCTAAATGTCGAATTTTATACAGGGTGTATCTGAATAACACCGAAATAATTCAAGGGGTGTTTCTTTGTAACATTCTAGCAAAAAGTTCATATAAACATGTGCCCTAACTTGCTCCGTTTTTGAGATACAGGATGTTGAAGTTGGAAGTATTAATTGTTTTTATTTATAACCCCCCTGTATTAGCTTTAGTGGTGCCAAAAATCAGTATGGATAGAGACTGAGAAAGCCCCAAAATTTCAAAATGATTCTGATTGGGGTTATTGAGTAATCTCAATGGAAGTCTTGAGAACACATTAAAATTTGAAGTCGAATCGAATCTTCATTGTTTCCTCAAAAACTAAGCTAGATACAAAAATCACACAGAGGATAAAAAATGTGTTATTTCAATAGTTCAATCTAATAAAAATATGAAACTCAGGAAAACCGGTGGGGTTCAATGACAAGCACAATGAATATCGATAAATTTACCCACTGTAACGCCACTGGAAATATTTTTCTCAATCTAATTGCTCTAGAAGAAAATCCATATTACTATTAACAAAACCACAACGTTTAATTGAAATTGATGAAAAGACAATTCAGAAATGAATAGACAAAAGATTTTTCATGGAAATATTAATACCCTGTATCTCGAAAACGACGCAAGTTAGAAAACATGTTAATATGAACTTTATTTCTTAAACTATCACAAGGAATCAACCCTTGAATTTTTTCGGTGCTATTCAGATACACCTTGTTGAATATACAGGGTATATATTTCGCGTTCTATATGTAGTGTGGAGAAATAAAAGAAGCATGACTCAGAAAATTTGTAGGGATGGTGAAGAAAGACATGGGTAATCCCTTATATAATCCAATCAAAATATTCTCGTTATTGTGAATCCTCCAGTTTTTCCGGAAGTGACAGCCGAGATTGAACCCGGACCAACCACTTGATAGGCTGCGCTTTAGGCCTAGGTCATTTGAATACTTCAATAATCTCAATGAATAGTTATTTATACACCAAATAGTGAAGAATTTCATCATTACCCAGGTACCAAGATTATATCCCGAGGCTCCAGCCGAAGGTCCCGTGGTAATAATATTCTTTTTCTACACACATAACTAAGATGGCATTTAGCGTATACGGATATGTACCACGCGAAATGATCGATCAATCACGGATTCACGATCTGTGATTTATTCAAAATATTAAACACGTTACCATGACAACACGATTTCTTGAACACATTACCATTGCAACGCAGTTCATTAAACACAGCTTCAGTAATTTGAGACATGTCTGGCCTGTCAATTGTATTAACTGTCAACTCTTATCTTCGAATTTTCTATCAGAATTATTCAAACAATATTCGTTTGTATCAGAATTCTTCATTGAAAATATATGCGAAAAGTAGACGAAAGTGAAATCGAAGAGAATGTTCTGGTACTTGCATATCACCAAGAAGTGTAAAAATGAAGCATCCATCTTTGAGAACAATTTATTTATTCTGCGCTAAGCATGACAATAAAGGTATGACAATAAACGTGAAACAAAGGTAAGTAAGCAATGGACTGGACACATCTACAACCAATATCACTTATACGTGTCTCGCTGGTTGCATGCAGTTGCATGTATTATGTTCGCAATTCCCATTCCTTTCGCATTATTTTGTTGGTAAGCAGGAATAGGGAATAGCAGGTATGTTACTGTTATTTTCGGAGTTCGTAGAAAAAACATAGTATGTAACGCGTTTATAAACTCTTCTAGACACTCGTTCATTAAACACTCGCTCCGCTCGTGCTTAAAATACTCGTTACTAAAAGGACGCTTATAACACAAATTTTTTTCACCACTAGCAATATATTTCAATCATTATAGTTCTGTGAAACTGAAATATGGGCATATGTCACTATGAAAGCACTTCTTTTCAATTCTAATTGGAATCTAGTCACCATGACAGCATATGACATGTCGTTGCT